ACCATATTCAAAAATTCTTTAATTACTGAAAAAGGACAAATTCGTAAGAACGATGTTTATCAAGTACTAACTTACTATAGCATGAACTCAACAGTATTTTTTCTAGTTTAAGGAAAATGGCATGCATAGATTCAAATTAAGTGAATTTCTCACGAATTTTGATCCTGATTTTCCCATTGATCTGATCAATGAAGATCTTTCAATCGGACATGACGTATTCAGAGAGGAAGCAGGCACCAGTCTGGTTTTTCACGGGTTCCGTGTTGTTGTCTTGTTCATCGTCCAATCTTTTCCAAGCGTTTATAAAATTCATGATATATCATATGATAGATTACAGTTTGTTATATTCTCTTCTCATCTGACGTGAAATATCGTAACAACTGAACTCTCTTGTAAATGAAAATAACAAAACGCAATCATCAAAAATAAATTTAAACATTGATTTATAATAACATGAAAAAAATGACTAAGAAAACATTGCCTTTTGTATCCTTTTGAAACTCTTTTCACTCGCTCAATTTATTATATATAATAAACTCCAAACAAATCATGTTTTTTATTCTTTTATACGAAAGTAAACACTATATAAACAATATGAAGATAAATTTTCTATTTAAGTTTTCATTTATCTAAACATATACATGTATTCAAAAATTGTACATTTGATTGGCGGCCTTTTCATCCGCCTCTGTTTATCTTGCTTTAACCAGACGTCAGTAACGACAACCGTGGGGATGTGAAGACACTTTCTATTTATTTATGTTTTCCTCCATTATTCTTCTTTATCTTGATTTTTTTTTTTACTGTCTTACCTTCTTTTTTTCCTTTTTCTGTCTTTGTTTGATATCATATCTGAGATTTTTCTATTTATGTTTCCTTTTGTTTCTTTTGTTTTGTTTTCCATAATTCTGGTTTGTCTATTTATATGAAGCATTTCATTTTCAACTTTTTTTCACAAATAATTAAGTACATCAAGTACCATAATAATCACCTGTAATAATTGGCTCCAGTTTAACTTACTTTCCATTCATTTAATGCCATTAATCGACATTGAACTTTCTTTATTAGAGTACGCTATATTTTCTCAATATGTAGCATTGAAATTGGACAAGATTACAGTTTTGAATAAACTCGTTAAAAATTATTACAAATATTGACATGTTCAGAACTTCGAAGAATCATTAAATCAAACGTTGAATGAGAGTTTTTTTTTTTTACCAATTGTTAGACCATTATTTACACATGGAATTGAACAATCTGATTAAATTCACTGTAATTTTCGGATTATGACAAAAAGCACACGACGTTTGCTATTGGACGCCATTGCATGCTCATTCCTCTATGGCACTGGATCCCACACATAATGTTTTAGATGTTCTTGGTTTTTTTTGCTCCTGATTGGTATTGTTTAAGTGGACTTTTGAATGATGTTATGTATCTAGTTCACCTACTTCATTATAATTTTAATTGATTTCATCATCAGTATGCTTAATAATCATAGATTACATGCTTCATTCTTATTTTAATTGATCTCATCATCATTTTACTTAATTCAATCTTTTTTTTTTCAATTTAAAATATATCTTAACTGTCCAGGAATAAAATAAGAGAAGCAAAATAGCATGCGTTGAATGCGTGGCAACGTATAAATCTTCCGATGAGGAAATAAATTAACACTCATAGTTATGAAATATTAGATTTGATCAAATAAACAATATCATTTCAAAATATTTATAAAGTATTTCAGAGAATCATTTCAAGTTTATGTTTCTATACAACAAGTATACAGTTTTGCGCGTTTTATTTTCAAAACAATGTTAGATAAATTAACAAAATACAACGGAAACAAATATTGTAACAGAAGTATAATGCTTAAAAATTCAAAGACAAGTACCTCAAAAAAGTTAGTGGACAATGAAAATATATTTAAATCCCTGTTGAGGCAAATTTCAAAAAAGCAAATCAATGTTTTAATCTTGAAAAAAAATTATTTTTTAAGAATTTTATCACAACAAAACCTCCGAAGTTTTTTTTCTAAACTTTAGGTCATAATGCAAATATATATATGGATTAGCGATGTGACTCATAAGATTAAAACGGAGGCAGAATATGTATATATTTCTAATGTACCCCTTTGTAACTTCTCTGGTTGCATATCTGTGGATTTGTGTAATCAACGACGTAAGAACTAAGAAACAACGTAAACAATAATGATCACCAGATACATGGCGGTAATTTTCTTTTTAACCTCTTTGTCTTTCCTGGAGGTTTTATTGTTTTCATCATTAGTATGTACTGAATTCTTCAGACCTGCAGTTTTTCCAACGCCAAATGTTTGTGATTCTCTGCTTGAAATATTAATGTTGCCATCTGGAACATTACTTTGCTGATTGCATTTGACATGTAAACGTCTTTTATAAATCGTTTTAATGACAGGAATATAAAGAGTGGAGGTGACAAAAACGTTAATGATGGAAAAGAATAATAAAACTCCTAGGTATTGCACCATACCGCTGGGTCTGTAGAATTCGTTGAAAAACGCACAGGTCGAGAAGTTGCTAGTTACGTTATTTGATGTACTAGTATATACTTGTATTTTATTCAATTTTAGCATTGGAGATGCATTGGCCGTGGAAATCAAAAACATAACCAGGACGACAACTCTGCGTATTTGTGTGGACAGTTGCTGACCAAACGGACGGCATATCATTAAATATCTCTACAGGGCTATAGCAAAGGTCAGATGAGCCGAAAAATCCTCCGGTCAGCGTATTTGAAAAATGGAACATTATACACAAAAATTCACCGGGGTAAGTGTAGCGCATGTTGTCATTCACATAAAATCCAGTGACGTTAAACATGGTTCCGATAAGATACACTAAAGCCAAAACTGGTATGAAATATCGAGAGCCTTTGTTGTCTTCAATATATTTAGTGTACATCAAGAGAACCAGACAGTTTCCAAATACTCCTAGAGTACCCATTATAAGTTGTATAATTGTGTTGGGGAGTAAGGCTTTCGAGTATTCTTCGGACAAAATCTCTGCATTTTCCATATCTTAACTTTTAATTAAGATCTTAACTTGTAATTAAGAAGACAACCACATTGTAATTGTTTAACTTCAATCTACAATGGAATGTGAAGTAAAAAGAAATTTAATCGTTTTATACAGAAGCAGGTTACATCAATAGACTTCCTTCCTTACAAAAAACAAAGTGACAGTTTCCTTTTGAAAGCAGACATTTCTTGTAAGTGATATATATATGTAGATATTTAAATTTAAGTAAATATAACTTACTTTATTTTGTCGATTTCATTTAAAAGAAAAATTTATTCAATAATCTCCACCAAGTTTTATTTGGAAATTTGAAAATAGACTGTGATAGGGTTCAAGTATGTACGTGCAGTACATGGTCATTTCAGTAATTACGAGTAGTACTTGTCATTCTATTATTCTAATTACCAGGCTTTACTTTAATTCAAATCAGCAGATAATAACCTGTATTTGTTTAAAAGCTGTTTTAATAGCTATTGCTAGATGTTTCACAAATCAAATCATGTGGGCCATGGGTTTTGAGCACACATGCGTAACTGATGTTACCACGTGTATTTAATACCTGTGTTATCATGCATATTAATTTTTATCGACATTTTGGTTTTAAAAATCATTCAAATATTTATCGAACTTACTGAAGATGAAGGAGGATATTATTTAATAGACCTACATAGCAATGTAACCATCCAGTGGGTTTTCGCCGCCTTGTATTGAAGATCTTGGTGTATACATGCACTCATCATTATAGCATAAAGGAAAATTATTAGACGTTTATCAAGGACTTTTGCTAACTGCACCTGTTTTAATTAATTATCAATTACTTATTAAATCTAAATATTTGATATTAACCTACCGTGTTGTTCTTGAATTAAAGGCATAACGCTGATTGTCGTTTACATGTAGCTATAGTATGGATTAAACGGACATAGGCAAGAGAGGTAACTATTATTATATACTAATTCTGCGAATTTAAGAAACCGCGATCGAGTCAGATGAGAGAAAAACGTAAAAAATACAACCCGTGAAATAATCCCCATATACAGTATTTAGATTCAAAAATAGTTTAACCATTATGCTGAGTAATGTAGCAAACACGATTAAAATGAAATTATTATGTGTTTTAAAATATAACACAGACAATAAATCTGTTGAAATTGAGTTCACATTCATGTGCTTATTTTCATGTGCTATATACTGTAAAAGCACAAATATTCGTGGGGGATTAAATTTCGTTTATTTCGATGTTAACAATTATTAACGAAATTAAATCCCACACGAAATTTTATATGACTATATATTGAATAGGGTTAATTTCAAAACAACGAAATTAAATACCAACGAAACTATTTTTGATGACAAATCAACGAAATTTTATCCCAACGAAAATTTGTGATTCTACAGTATCCCCTTAGAATATTGTTAATAATTATTGATTGTTTATTGTACACCTGATGTGAAAATCATTTATTTAGTGATTTGAAAAATACCGGATTCGAATTTAGCCCTGAAAGGGTTTTTCTGACCCATAACACGTTTATAATACAATACTGTTTGTAAAAAAAAATATCGATTTATCAAAAGATTTCTTGTAAAACAAATGTCATTTTCGTCCTTATCAATTTATAATTGGCAATATAAAGTAACTCGGTAGCAATTGTAAATAGAATCACATTTTTTGTCTTAAAGCAGAAGATATAAAATAGAATAAGTATATGTACGTAAAAACATGAAGAAAATAATTCTAAGAAACAGCGCATCTTTTTTTAAAACTGATTGCACTGACAGGGTGAGGGTTCTGTACGTCAATTATTATAACGATGCTAAAAAAAAAAATTTGCCTCAGTTTTACTTACAAGCCTTTGATCAAAAACCATTTATCAAGAATATTTCTTTTGATTAAGTGTGCTATATTATTCTCAACTTGTAGGTCATTGAAAATGAAAAAAAAGAAACTTGCAGTGTAAACTCGTGCAAAAATTATTACAACTATTGTGTCATTTTCACACCTTTGAAAAATTATTAAGCAAACCTTGCCTGGCGTTTTCCATACTAATTGTTAGGCAATTATTTACACACCGAAGTACCGATTGAATTAACTGTCATTTTTAGATCAAGGCATAGAGCACAAGACGATTGTTATCGGTCGCCAGGACATGCGCACTCATGATCCCATATCAGCTGTTTTAGAGGTCCGTGTTTGTGCTGCTCCTGATTGGTGTCGTTTGAGTGTTCTTTTGATTTTAAATGCTGTTATGTATCTGGTATTCATACTTCATTATAAATTTTATGATTTAATCATCATTTTACTTCATCTTTTTAAAAATGAAAATACATTTCAAGATTGTTTCTGTACAATAAGTATACAGTTTGAATGCTTTTATTTTCAAACCAATGTTTGAACTGAATAAAAAAAGACAACATACAAAGAAAACAAATATTGTAACAGAAATATCATGCTAAAAAAAACTAAGACAAGTACCCCAGAAAAGTAAGCTAACAAAAGAAATGTATTAAAGTCCCTGTTGATGTAAATTGCGGAAATGCAACTCAATGTATTAATCTTCAAAAAAAATTTATCACTTTTTCAGAATTTTATCACAGCAAAACCTTCGAAGTTCCTTTCTAAACTTTAGGTCATAATACCAGTAAATATATGGATTAGCAATGTGATTGACCAGTTGAAAACGCATAAAAAGAAAGTTAATATTCCGTTTGTACCCTTTAATTTCCTCCGTTTTTGTGAAGTGGTAGATTTGTGTAACTAGTGAAGTCCCATACGAAACAACGTAGACAATAATGATGACGAGATACATGACGCTAATATTCTTTCTAGCCTCTCTGTCTTTCCTGGATGTTTTATTGTTTTCATCATTAGTCTGTGTTGAATTTTTCAGACCTGCATTTTCTCCAACGCCAAATGTTTGTAATTCTCTGCTTGAGATATTAATGTTCCCATCTGGTACAGTATTTGCCTGAATGCGTCTGACATTTAAACGTCTTTTATATATAGCTTTAATCACAGGAATATAAAGAATGGAGGTGACAAAAATGTTAATGATGGAAAAGAATAATAAAACTCCTAGATATTGCACCAGATCGCTGGATCTGTAGGTATCGTTGCTAGTCGCACAGGTAGAGAAGTTGCTAGTTACGTTATTTAATGCACTAGTATATACTTGTATTTTATTCAATTTTAGCAATGGAGATGCATAGGCCGTGGAAATCAAAAATAAAACCAAGACGAAAACTCTGCGCCTTTGTGTGGACAGTTGCTGACCAAACGGACGGCATATCATTAAATATCTCTGCAGGGCTATAGCAAAGGTCAAATGGGCCGAAAATCCTCCGGTCAGTGCTGTTGTGAAAGGGAACATTTTACACAAAAAGTCACTGCCGTGATTGTAGCGCATGTTGTCTCTCATATAAAATCCAGTGACGTTAGACACCGTTCCGATAAGATCCACAAAAGCCAGAACTGGTATGAAATATCGGGAGCCCTTGTTGTCTTCAACATATTTAGTGTACATCAAAAGAACCAGACAATTTCCAAATACTCCAAGGGTACCCATTATAAGTTGTATAATTGTGTTGGGGAGTAAGGCTTTCGAGTATTCCTCGGACAAAGTCTCTGCATCCTCCATATCTGAACTTTTAATTAAGAAGACAACCACAGTGTAATTGTTTATCTTCAATCTAAAATGAAATGTGAAATCAAACAAAATTTAATCTTTTCATACAGAAGCATGATACATCAAAAGCCTTCCTTCCTTACAAAAAACAAAGTGGCGGTTTCCTTTTGAAACCAGGCACTTCTTCTAAGTGATATATATAGATAATTAATTTAAGTACTAGATAGGACTTACTTTATTCTGTCTTTAAGTTTTTGTAGACCTAATTTCTGATATGCATTATGCAATTTTATTGTGATATGACCAACTTAACTTGTATGAAGTTGTATTTACTCCAACATGTTTATAAAACAATTCTCGAAATCCTCGGCTTCGCCCGAGGGGAATATGATATTTTTTGACTGATAAGTCTTCATGTTACCCAAACATTTATGCAATGAATTAATTATTATACCGAAACATGCAAAACATTTGAAATAAACATAAACTTTCAAATTCGGTACCGTTCTCAAATTCACTTTAATTTTTTACGTAAAGTTACTATAAAACCCTTTATTTAACACATTATCATCAGTTTTGAGACGTAATCCAGGTTATTGTGACGACTGCTTCTCTCGGAAGTTTTTCGTTTAACAAAGGAGATTTATATTGCGGGAAAATACAGCAGGTGTTCCAAAGAGATGGAATATGATGAAAAGCGTTCCGAAGGCCGTGAAATATGAAGTTTTACGCCCCGATAATGAGCTAACTTAGAACCAATCAGATAACCTGTAGTTTAGAATATTTTTAATGAGGTATTAAAAATACAATATTATTTGTTAAGAAATATCGATTTGTCAAAAGTAGTAAAAAACACATGTCCAGTTCGTCCTTATCAATGTATATTTAGCAATATGAAGTTACTATGTAGCAAATGTACATAATGTTAACAGATTAACTGTTTATAGTTTTGTCTTCCACAGAAGATATTAAATAGAATTAGTACGTATAATCTTGAGGAAAATAATTCTAAAGAACGGCGCATTTTTTAAACTTATTACAATGGAAAGAAGAGAAATGCAGGTTCTGTGCATTTGCCAAAAGATTCATATCAATTGAAATAAATCGCTGGTCTCATTAATTTGTTCATTATTAGAGTATTGATTATTTAAAAGTAAACAGAATGCGTACGTCGATCTTTAATGAATATATAAATTTTTGTTTTAAATGTTGCTACATGTAGCAAATTTATTATTCATTATATGATAGATTACAATTTGTTATCTTCTCTTCTCGTCTAACGTGAAAAATAATAACAACTGTACTGTCTTGTAAATGAAAATTACAAACCGCGATTATCAAAGGTAACTTTGAAAATTGTTTTATAAAAACATGAACAATGCCCAAGAAAACATTGCATTTGAAACCCTTGTCCCTCGGTCAATTAATCATATAGTGAATTCTATACAAATACTGCTTTTTCTCCTAGAGAAAAGTATACACTACAGAAAATATATAAAGATAATTTTTCCATTTTAGTTTTTTTTCTTTAAACAGATATTCTACTTTTTAAATTTCATTGGCGGTCTCTTCTCCCGCCTCTGTCTATCTTGTATTAACCAAACGTCAGTAACAATAAAAGTGAGAATGTGAATATATCTTGAAAACCTTTCTATTTTTGGATGTTTTCTTGCATTTACTCTTCTTTATCTTGAATTTTCTTTCGACTTTTTTACGTTCTCTTTTCCTTTCTCTATATTTCTTCTATGTCTTATATACGATTTTACTATTTTTGATTTGTATAATCAAGTACATCAAGTACAACTATCATAATTAGCAGTTGTATTAATTTGGTCCAGTTTTACTTACTGGTCACTAATTAAAGTCATTAATCAACATTGAACTTTTTGTTAAAATATGCTATATTTTTCTCAGTATGTAACATTGAAAATGGACCATATTTAAGTGTTTATTAAATTCGTAAAAATTATTACAAACATTTCATTTCCAAAACTTCGAACAATCATGAAATCAAACGTTGAATGAGAGTTTTATAACATTTGTGAGGCCATTATTTACACATGGAATTGACGATTAAATTTACTGTAATTTGCGGATTATGGCAGGGAGAACACAGCGATTGTGATTTGTCGCCATGGCATGTTCACTGCTCCATGCTACCTGATCCCACATCTGATGTTTTCAAACCAATGTTAAAACAGGATAATTTAATTTTAGTTGTAACGCGTCATTTGATTGGTTGAACGGTTTTATCCATTTCGTATAACATAACTTGCGTATGTCACAATGAGTTACGTCAAAAACGTATTACTAGGCTATACGTTACTTTTAAAATAATGCCCACTTTGAAGCCTTTTTCTGGAGGAAATATTGTCTCATTGTCTACATTGAAATTAAATTATAAGAAATGAAGCTTATTTCAACTTATGTTATCCGATATAACAAAACTTGGGGCAGTTTACGCTTATTTATAAACCGCTTAGCGTATTAATGTATTTAAGTCCCTGTTGAGGCAAATTGCGAAAATGCAACTCAATGTTTTAATCTTGTAAAAAAAAAATCATTTTTAAGAATTTTATCGCCAAAAAAACCCTCTAAGTTCGTTTCTAAATTTTAGGTCATAATACCAGTATATATATATATATGGATTAGCGATGTGATTCAAAAGATTAAAACGCCTACAGAATATGTAAATATTTCTTCATCATTAGTATATACTGAATTTTTCAGACCTGCATTTTCTCCAACGCTGGATGTTTGAGTTTCATTGATTGAGAAATTAATGTTGCCATCTTGAACTTTCTTAGGTAATTGCGTCTGACATGCAAGCATCTTTATAAATAGTTTTAATCACAGGTATATAAAGAACGGAGATGACAAAAACGTTAATAAAGGAAAAGAATAATGTAAATGCTGTGCATTCGACCATACCACTGGGTCTGTAGGTATCGTTGTTTGTCGAACAGTCGAGAAGTTACTAGTTACCGTATGTACTGGCCTATAAGTCGGTCCGCCTATAAGTCGGTTGTATTTAACAAGCTTGCATATCAGATGGACTAACCAAAACGACTTAAAGGCTTGTATATACGGTACGTTATTTGGTGTGATAGTATATAGTTTATTCAATTTCAGCATTGGAGATGCATAGGCCGTGGAAATCAAAAACATAACTAAGACGACTACTCTGCGTATTTGTGTGGACAGTTGCTGACCATACGGACGGCATATCATCAAATATTTCTACAGGGCTATAGCAAAGGTTAAATGGGCCGAAAAACTTCCGGTCGGCACATTTGAAAAAATATTTTAGAAAAATTACTGCCGTGATTGTAGCGCATGTTGTCATTCACATAAAATCCAGTGACGTTCGACAAGGTTCCTACAAGATCCACTAAAACCAAAACTGAAATAAAGTATCTTGATCCGCTCCTGTCTTCAACATATTTAGTGTACATCAAAAGAACCAGACAATTTCCGAATATTCCTCGGGTACCCATTATAAGTTGTAGAATTGTGTTGGGGAGTAAGGCTTTCGAGTATTCCTCGGACAAAGTCTTTGCATCCTCCATATCTTAACCAAGAAGACAGCAACAGTGTAATTTTTTTCAATCTAGAATGGAATGTGCAATCAAACGAAATTTAATCTTTTTATACAGAGGCATGACACATCAAAAGACTTCCTTCCTAAAGAAAAACGAGGGGGCAGTTTCCTTTGAAACCAGGAAGTTCTGCTTTGTGATATACATAGATATTAAAACGTAGATTTTAATGGATGTTTGTGCATTTCAAACTATTTAATTTAATTGTAAAATGAATAATATTTTATATTTTAAATTTTCATCACGTCTTGTAGTTAGTTAAAGAGACTGATATAAACAAAGATTAAAAAAATACCATAATAGTATTTAATATGTAAATTCAAAATTAAATTTATTGATTACACCGATTCATGTAGCAAACGCTATCAAACTATCAAATTATTGTGTGTTTAAAATATAACCCTCCACGCCACCAAAAAAAAACCAAATCTGTTTGAATTCAGTTCACATTAATCCGTTAAATTTATATATTCCCTAAGCATATTGTTTTAAAAGAATTTTTATTGTTTATTTTACACCTGGTTGGCGAAGTATTTACTTAATGTACAGAAGAAATACCGGATAGAAATTTAGCCCTTTACTCGGTACAGTGATGAATTTTGTGGGTACATGGTGTTGTTTATTAGAAGTCTTTGTGTCGGATATAATATGTACCTACTGCCAATGCATATTTATTATCCTTCAGAAATTTATAGTCAGTGTGATTGGTTTAGAACAGGTCACGTGCAGTGAGAAAACTCGTGATGTCTCACTCGCGCGCAGGGTGACAACTGTTCTCTCTCTTCAGATGACAATGAATTAGCGCAAGCGAGCATGCGGGGTTTCAACTGTGTTGTCGCCCTTTGAAGGAAACAACAGTGGTTTAAGCGATATATCTCCTATTTATAAGTACAATTGCTAAATATGCGGGATCGGTAAACAATAAATTCTAACAATGACGTCAAAGTTGTATGTTGACATATTTTGAAAGAATAGAATCGGAGCAGAGTAGAAGAAAACAAGAGTTTTAATTACTATTTTCTACTCTATCTAATTGATAATTGTACATTCTTTAGGATAATAAAATTATTATGGAATGTTTAGAAGGGAGACATCACCAATGATAATTGGTGTTGTCTCCCTTCTAAACAGTCCATAATTGTATATTGTCGCCTGTATAGCGCAGTGGTTTGAGAGTCTGCTGTAGAGTCGCGAAGTAAGGCCTACTTATGTTTTCCGGTACAGTACTAATGAAGTTTTTCAATGATCAAAAAATTAAAATCAAAAGAATTCGTAACATTATTGAATGAAAGTATTTGTATGCAAGGGTTATATTAATCGCAAAATGCTGAAAACTTTGCTCCTTTTAAAAGATGAAATTATTTCAGTCAGAATAAATATTATATCTATAGGCAAAAAAAATTAATAAAAATAAAGAATGGATTCCTGGCTGGAACTCCTAATTTTTCAATTCAATGAATCAAAAATATGATAAAATTATAATTTGTTTTTATTTTGCG